TGTGACATGATGACTGCTATGATGATATGATGATATGATGATGATGATGTCATTCGAGTTTTTGAGTGTATGCTCGTGGCTTTTGTTGTGCAATTAGTGCTGAAAAAATTACTATATCTTCTGTTGTCCATGGTCCCTGCCTAACTGGGTAGAGTAGAAAATCCTTACTGCGAGTGGTTACAGTTTGTGTTAGTCGGTAGTCATGAAAACTTCTCCCTGTGCACTGCTGGGTAATCAGAGTCGACACCGCTATACTTATATATATACTGTGTGTGTGTGTGACATATAAAATTTCTGTCATTGTAACTAGAACACGAAATTCGTGAACATGGCAAAAAAATGCCAATGGGAAGTGCCAGATACAATAAATATATATATGTAACACCGAAATTATGGGCAACATGATGTACTACAAGTACACTTGGCTTTTGTCGGCAAAATGTCAAATTTGGAGTATTTTGCTAAAAAAAATTCGTTTTATTTCAATGAAAATATGTTGATGATCGCGTGTGCGTTCATATCAGTTGTGTTGCCTATGTCTCTTTCAACTGCGTTTCAAGAAACATGTTAACTAAAACGTAAATAGTGATCTCCTCGCCTTAGATTGCGTGCGTGCAGTGCCTGCTGCATGTGTAGTGCTGCGTGCGGTGCGTCGTTGCGTGCGTATGCGTGCTGTGTGGCGTCAATGTAGTTTGTGTATGCACACCGTGTGCTGTCGTGTGTGTGAGCCGCACCGTGTGGCCTCATTAATGTCCGTTAGTAGAGTCGCATTGATTCTGTTAACAGACGCTGTTGCGTCGTTGGTGGTGCGTGCGTGTTGCGTGCACGTGCTGCGTGGCGTGTGTTTTTCGTGAAACAATATTATGTCTGAATTCTTACGTATATAAAGCTCGATTTATATCGATGTAACATAATGTGACACGTGTTGATGACACAGAAAGCCTTGTACTATAATGCAAAAATAAATATAAATACTACCTTTTTACAGAACTTTCTCTATTGCACTCTTCTCTTCAGTGTGTTACTTCCTGCATTTTATATTGTGACAAAGTTTTTATCGTTGTAAATTTGTATAAGCTTGGTACAATGTAGTACTGTACGATATAGAATATTTACACTATTCTTTTTTGAGCTGTATTTAGCCGAGCCAACTCTAAATAGCACTAAACTGAGACATATTATGTATACCAGCTGACTGAACACTATCCGCTCGTGACATCTTACTGTCTTAATTAGGGCTGCCTAAGAGGTTTTTCGTGTACGTACCCGCTTTTTCTACAAATAACATCGGATCAGTTGCTTAATACGTATCTATCAACGATGACTTGTCCACGACTACATATAATGAACGGGCCCCATCTAAATAAAAAAAATATACCCTCTAATTAGTGATGTCATCGATCATGCGAATATACTCGATCAATCGTTGACAGTGGCCTCGAAACAACCCGCTTCATCGCCTAACTATACATAGTTATCCTTTATTAACATATACAAATGTATTATACACCAGTAGATAAACATTGCTAAAAAACACAGTAAACGGCTAAAAAGCCGCATACATGCACAACCGCGTACTGCCCGCTTACTCCACGCAGCAGCATTCAACACTCGCACAGTCCCGATTGTAAAACCGATACAAATCGGTTACATTGGATCAACGATGATGAACGATTACGAAACTAACAACCGATATGACAAACACTAACCTATAAATTTATATTTTTGTACAATAATTTAAGGCCACGCCGAGATGACTGACGCTAACCTTGCCCCACACTAGCGAATCTGCGCATGAGATGCTAAGTGTTTGAATGCCATGATCAAAGGACGGGGTCATGTTCACTTCATTCCGGTCGCTGACAGAAAGTGAAGCAAGAATATCTGAAATAGGCCACACCGCATTAACAAATTTCACGTGTAAAGGAGCCACTCTGGTTCAGCCATCGCAGGCAGCCACTCAACCTGTATCCCAAATGTAGTTGACTCCAACGTTTTGTGCGGAATGCGGGAGCGGAAACGTTGCTACTCTTTACCTTTTGCTGTTTCATTGGACTTTAGGCCGTTACAGTCTAAGCCGGGTGCAGTAGGACACCTGTAATATAACGAATAACTGTCTAATCAGACCACGAAGTTTCCCTGCAGTGGCGCCTCGTAGCCCGGTCTATTCCCCTTGACCTCTGTTTGACCTCGCTCGTTTAGCCTATTTCTGCATAACCCTAACCCTAACCCTAACTCCTCCCTAACCCTAAGCACCTAACCCTATATATGGATATATATTATATATTATATATATATATATATTAGTCAGAAATAGCTAAACGAGCGAGATCAAACAGAGGTCAAGGGGACATAGACCTTATCTGCTGCAGTGGCAGTTATACTGTGAAGTCACCTCTATAGAATGTATGCTTTCTGTAAAGGACACTTAGAGGTTCCCTTATAATGGTTTCCTTTGAGTGCCAGTTATACAGTGAAACCATCTTTATAGAACGGACACCTGCCCACAAAGGACACTTTTAGCGTTTCGTTTAAGTGATCTAGATTCATGTTTGTATGTATAGATCGTTCGCATGACAGTTGGCTTCAGGGATCGTTGAATACGCGTCAAGTTGTGGGTAGCTGTCAATTCTTGACGGTAGGTGGCGTTGTACGGACACGATGAGATAGCTGGGGTTCTAAGAGGAGCCAGCCAGCTAGGGGGCTCGTTGTCGGAAACAAACATTCTCTTGATCTTAACGTTAACTATTTTCTTAGACAGGTGACAGAAAAATCGTCACGTTACGAGAGCGAAAAATCCTAGCAAATATTCTCATCACTTTGTTGTTAACAAGTAGTCTCACACAAATAGTTGTTAACGTGTTTAAGAGTAATGCTGAGACTTGTTTTTGTTTCTGAAAACTGGCCCCTGTATGTCACAAGCTATGATGA